TCTGAATCTTGATGTGTTGTACAATAGTATAAGTGTAACGTCTGATCTTTAGAAAATGCTTAATGCAGGAATGGCTGAAAGTATACAAATATATTGTCAATGAAGTAAAGAGCGCCCAATAAACCCAAAAGAAGGGAGTATTCTTATACAAATCATACTATTGCCAACCTTCTTAACATCCACATTCCTAGGGGCATAATAATCAACTTAAAATATTTGTTCCACCAAACATGCTCGTGAAAAAATAAACATGCACAAACACACACACCGTCAGTTAAATTTCGGGTCAAACAACATGATTCATAGGTGTGAGCATGTTAAATATAATGTGTGATTATATGATGATTAAATTAGTACATTTAGATATAATCATCAATCACTAATATTATAATGTCAAAATTGACGGGCGCAGCAACGCGCGCCGGCGACGATCTAGTTAGTGTTGAGGTTGGGGAGTGATTCGGTTTGTAGAGTGTTTGTTGGAGGTAATCTAGTACAGTGGAACAAACTGAAGGCTCTATGTGGTGGTGTTTTGCTTAAATGGAAAAATGTGACAAGCCACCCCGCAAAAAAAAAGAAGTGATAAGCTGTGGACTATCGAAATGAGAAATGTGCAGCGGCTGACTATGGAAAAGAGAGAGACTGGGCTCCGGTGGTACATCGGCTGACTATTTGAAGATCGCAAGCGTCTCCTCCGAAGCTATATACTCCCTCCGTTCCTAAATATAAGTTTTTAAAAAGATTTCATTATGGACAACATTCAGAGCAAAATGAATGAATCTACACACAAAATGCATCTATATATCTATATATAGTTCATAGTAAAATACCTATAAAGACTTATATTTAGAAACGGAGGGAGTAGTTGTTTTATGCATGAGCTGAATCTTTTTTATTCGTCAGCTCATGAGGTCTGCATATCCCAGCTTTGGTTTTTTTTAATAAACCCGTGGTTGCTCTTTGCCCCTGGTGTTCTGAGCTCTCCTGCATTAAGAGGAACCCCACTCGCTCGGCCCCCCAGCGCACCCGCCGGCACTAATTTGGCCCTTCGGCCAGCGCATTTTCGGCCTTGGGGGCGATCTAGTTCCCAGTCACGCCCCAGGGGTCGGCCCCAAGACGTTAATAAATTCAAACATGACATTTCCCGCCATAAGTCCGGCGATCAGCGGCTACCGCCACCACATGGTTCGTCGTTCAAAAGGAAAGACGTCCGGCGATCACCATGCCACAACCGCGATCAATCACTTAAAGTTTGGCGTTCAAAAGGAAAGACGCATAGGCAATGCATCAAATGGCGGCGTTTTCCTCCGGCGTCGGATTGGCGGGGGTCGGCGTGCGCGGGCTGGTCGGCGTCGGTGCTGGGTGGCAACCTCGTAATCGTAAAAAAGTGGGTTTTTTAGTGCTGGGCCTAGCAAAAGAGAAATCGTTGTAGGCATCATCGCTCGGGCTTGGCGGCGGCGTTGGGGTCGGCGTGCGAGTTGGCGCGGTCATCGACAACATCTGGTTCAGGATGAGGCCGCGCTCCGCCATGTACCACGCCTTGAATCGCTCGTCCATCGTCGACATGGCCGCCCCCATCAGGAATGCCAGGTCGGTGTTCCTCTTCTTCGCGGCGACGTTGATCCGGAGTAGGTCGATGTTGCTCCGGAGGAGGTCGAGCTTGACGTCGCTGTTCGTCATCAACGCTGACCACCGCGCCTTGGATTTATCTTCCCTCTGGACGGCGTGGTTCTTGGCGTCGGCGATGCACTGCTCGATGGACGCATGCAGCCGCGCGGCAGCCGGAGCAGCGTCCTTCGCCGTTTTGGCCCGTTTGTTGCCGTCTGAGCCCATCGGAAGCGCCCGACGTCCGGCTTGTACGTCTCCTTGGCTTGGCGAGGCTGCGCCGGACTTCCACCCACTTCTCGCACTTCTCGATCCGGGAGAACACGTGGAGGTACTTGAAGTCTTAGTCAGAACTGTTGTCTTGGCGATACATGGCAAACATCCAGACCATCTGCGCCGAGGAACAAGTGTCGGCGATGAACTCGGCGAAGAATGAGCGTGAGACCAGCGTCATACCTGACTCTCGTAGTTGGCGCCACTCTTCGGGCGAGCCGCGATCTCCTCGACGATCCCATGCCATTTGTTGCACGCCATTTGGATGAGCGCCCAATGGTTGGACATGGCCTTCGCGCCGTGCTGCATGTGGACGTCGGCGAAGTAGGGGTCGACGAGCTTGCACTCGTCGAACTCCGACTTGATGCGCTCCTAGTACGTCTCGGCGTTCTGGTTCGTACCGGTGATCAGGTCGAGGAAGACGATCTTCCATGCTTCGGTGAGGCACTCGTCTTTTTTGGACGCCCACTTGACGAGCGGCTCGTCGGTCCTGGCCGCCCGCCTCTTCTTTTTCCCTATCCTCGCCGGAGCAGGCGCCAGCTCCTCCTCCTCCTCCTCGTCATCCTCCTCCTCCTCTGGCTCCTCCTCGCCGTAGTCGAGACCATCGTAGTCGAGCCGCCGTTGAGGTCGATTGCATCTTCTTGGGCGTTAAACCCTGGGTAGGCAGCGGCGGCCGAGCCGGTCGTGATGATGTCATCCATGTCGGCCTCCGTGTGGTCGGGGTTGCCGAGATGCGACGACGAGGCTTGTGAGAAGAGCAGCGCACCACGGCGCAGAGGTGGCGCCAGGGAAGATGCGTAATCCGGCGGCGAGTAGGTGTATGGGGGGTACTGGACGTCGGCGAACGCGGGCGAGGGCGTGCGCTGGGCGGGGTGGCCATGTGGAAAGGTGATGTTGCGGTTGAATCCGCCATGCGCGTCGCCTTCGGCGTAGCCAGGAGATGGCGCACACCCCCAGGGGTTTGTCGACAACGAGAAGCCGGCCGGTGACCCGACGCTCTGCTGGCCGCAAGGAACGTGCAAGCCATGGCCGTCGGGCGGATTCATCATCCCTGCGAGCCACCTCTGCTTGTTCCGCCGCGCGATCTGCCTGCTCCGCCACGGCCGCAGCCGCCGTCATCGCCGCCCTGTCCCGAGCCTTCTTGGCGTTGAGCCTGTTCCGCTGGTCGGTGGTGACAGCCTCCCGGCGTTGAACTTCCGCCTTCCAGTCGGCGTTTGACATGCCGGGGGGCTTGGACGGTGGCGCCCGCGGCTTCCTCTGCTTTGGCAGGATGGCGTCGACATCGATAGCGGAGCGAGGGGCGGCGTACTTCTTCGGCGGCATGACGGCTTGATGGAGGGGAGAGGAAGGAGAATAGCGGGAGAAGGGGGGAATGGAGGGAAACGGAGGGGGAAATGCAGGGCGATCGGTGGGAAAAGGGCCTTCTCTCGCCGACAGAGCGGACCCACGAGCCTTTTCACTTCGGTCGGCGCCCCCAGGCGACCCCCGGGGGCTTGGGTCCGCCTCGGGTTCGCCGGTTGTTATTTCGGCCAAAACCGGCGAAAATCGAGACCCTGAGGGTGTGGCTGGGCCGTCTTTTGCGCGCCGACGCTAAAATTGGCTTGGGAGGACCCTGTTGGGGGCGCGGCTGGAGATGCTCTAAGAACATCCCTTCTCTGGGCATTGTTTAGATTAATTTTTCTCCACCGTGTATTTTCTTTTCTTTTCTGTTGCTCTTTGGGTTTGCCTACTTATTTAGTAGTAGAATGCTGGCTTCTTTAATAGAAAATGGAGGTCTGTCGACCCCTCTTTTTTCATAAAAAAAGGGAGAATATTAGTAACTTGTGTATAACTGCGCTTTGGATTGTGCAAATGCCCCATTTAGGGCATCTTCAATGCTGAACGCTTGTTGAGACGCTTACACAATGGAAAAAAAGTATTTTTTGCCTAGCGCCTGTGTAGGAGTCCATCCCTCCAACGCCACTAGCAATATGTAGATGCCTAGTGATTAAAGAAAAGCGAAAAAGAAAACAGAAGCCTCCATTGTTCACAACGCTGGTAATGAAGCGCCCACGTTGGAAACTGAAGCAGGGCTTTTTAGGAATCGTCCTGTTTTGTAGCGTCCAGGATAGCGCCGACGCCTAGTTACTTTGCATCGAGCGGGAAAAAAACGCTGGAGCGCTCGACGCTTTGCGCGGCATCGACGCAAGCGAGATTCCCCGTCTCGTGTGGGAATCGGGCATAACGACCGGGAAATCGACCCTGGCGTCGATCGTTAGCGTCCGCGTGTAAATGCCCTTAGAACTTCCACAAAGATGCTTCTATGCCCCATCGCTTCATTAGAAATACAAACCTCTGGAGTTGGCTGCTACTGTTATTTGCACGAACGAGATGTTTCTGTAAGAAACCGAAACTATTTGCCATTAGCTGATGATTGCTGACCCCGACAAAAACAAAATCTCTGCTGAAAGGAAGCACACAACAGGATTTCCAACGACAATACCTAATAAATCGATTATGACTGATTAAGTGATTATTTACGGTACATGCTTGTGCACGCCGCCGTACGTTTTGGTTGACCGGATCGATCTGACTAAGTCCACAACGCCCTGGGCAGGCAGCTTAGTCAGACATACGCGATCGTCACTCACCACATCATTCCGACCCATCATTTTAATTTGAACAAGTTAATTTACTCGACAGTTTGGGACCGTGTCTCCGAGTTCTGACCGTGACTGTGCAACCGTAGCTTATCATATATGCCGAGCGCCAATGCAAATCTTGAGCTACGAACGACTTGTTCCCGCCGGAATGCCATGTCAAGTTGAATAATTGGTCTGGTCCGGAGGTCAGATACACCTCCCTTCTCGGTAACTTGTGAGTTGAGACAAGAATACACTTCATCTAACACCTGCTATACACCTCCACACTCACCCGGCACCTTCCATGAAATGTTTATTACAAGCATGTCTAGACGATCACATTTTATGTTCGCACGTGACGGCAGCAGCTCTCGTGAACGGGTGCATAAAAAGAGATGAAGGTCGGATTATCATTCAGCAACAGAAATTCCTTCGTGTCACCAAACATACACCAAACCCAGCCTACGGACCGACCAAGGAGCGGGGAGAGCGTGCACGACCATGGAAGCCGAGGCCTTCCCGATACGGTTCACCAAGGGCATACGGTCCTACTGGCGCCGGAGCAAGTACCAGCGCGTGGACGGCGGCACGGCGGGCCGGGGCACGCGCCACCTGGTGCGGCTCGGGGACGGCGGCAGCGGCAGCGGCGACGGCAAGGCGTGGGGCGTGCGGCTCGGCGGCATGTTCCGGGTGCGCGTGAAGGCGCCGGCCTCGGCCGTGGCCGCGGCGAAGGCCCCGAAGCGCGTGCTCGGCCGGATAAGGGACGCGTACGTGGACGCCATGCTCGGCGCGGCGAAGAAGCACTCGGCGGCGACGCACACGCTGCCGGGCGGGCCGGCCCCGGAGGCGCTGTGGCAGAAGCGGGTGCCCGTGCGCCGGTCGCGCAGCCAGGCGCAGGTGCGGCAGAAGGCGGACGAGCTGGGCCAGAGGCTCGTCCTCGAGATGTACAAGTCCGTGCGCGCGTCCAGGGACCTCGCGGGCATGCTCGAAGCATCAAGGTCGCGATAGCATGGATGCGCCGGCGACTTGGAGGGAGGCGAATGATGTGTTAGTGTTACATGCTTGTATATGTAAGATTAGTTGGTGATGTGTAATCTGTTCATAACCACGGGGCTTTGCTCTGCTGTAAATTCTCCATAATTCCATGACTGTTTGCTTGTGAGGTATGACGCTTAGGAAAGTGAACCTTTTTTGTCTACGCTGTGCTGATTGCTGGGTCAGCTGATCAGGCAATTACAGTGTGCAGTAAAAGATGCACCAGGGAAGAAAAGAGAAAGAATGGCCAAAATGTTATTTCGCGGACGCACATATCTACAAATTTTCTCGCGTTTCATGTGCGCCTCCGTACTCTTGACTCTCGACTCTCCTGCGTCTTCTTCCCTTGCACAAGAACTACACACCTCCCGCCAATTCTTTTAGACAAAAAGCATGTCCGGCTTTAAAGTTATACAGCCAACAAGGCCAGCATAACACACATAGGTAGCAATATTACAAATGAGTAGACATCAGTCTCAAATTGGATTAAATGTAGTGCTCCCTCCGTTTCAAAATAACTGTCTCAACTTTCTGCTAGTTTTAATATAAAGTTGGATTTAGGTTAAGACATTTATTTTGGGATGGAGAGTACATTACAAGACCAAACATAAAACTAACGGGACAAAAAAAGAGCTTGAAGAGGTATTGCTTCTCTTGATAGCATGAGCGCCCTTAATCTTGGCTTGAACTGCTCGGGCCGCCTCACGGTCTTCTTCTTTACCAAGATGTTATTGCTGACAAAAATGGACCATTTAAAAATATAATCAACAGGGTGATTAGTGCTAGAAAGGAGAGAGGGATTTGGTGGAATAATTCGTTGATGTATTGCTTGAGCCTCATGGGCATATATGTAGGAGTACATGATCTACTTGGAGTACAAGCCAAGCCAGAATATTTCCTAGTCTAACCTATGTTTCCTAATACAATCACGTTACTCAACATCCCCCCGCAGTCACAACGGTAGCGACGCAGACAGTGAGACTGGAGAAGAATCCGAAGGCAAGCTAACGGACACCCCCCCACAGTGAAAACCGACGAGGTTGCTCAAGCAGGCGGTAGCCCTTTGTGCCATTTGTCGATGTAGCCGAGAGCGTGGGTGGTGGAGTCGTGGTCGAGGTAGTCGTGCGAAGAATGTCGTGGTCGATGTCGAGTCGGAGTAGCCGGTGTCGAGAAAATCACCGTGGAGCCGCGGGCGCAAGAAGGCGCCGAGTCACCGCTGCGTCGCCCCTTTGGCCGGGGTCCATCGCCGCCCCGACGCCGTCTGCTCCAGGTCGTCCCCGTGGCAGCACCGACCCTCGCGCCGCCGCTGCGTCGCCCCGTCGGGCCGTAGCGAGCGTGGCACACGGTCCACACCGCCGTCCTGAGGCCGTCCCCGCGGTTGCACTGACCCACGCTTCTCCGGCGCGCCGCCCCTTCGGGCTGTCGCGCCGCGGCCCGTGGTCCCTGCCGCCGCCCCGAGGTCTTCCGCCGTCACCGCGCGTCGACCTCCCGTGGTATGCACCGCGCCGTCTCCCTTTGCGCAGGAACGCCACCGTCCGCGCCGATCTTCGTCACGCTGTCAGGGTTCTTCGCCTACTTCGAGCATCGCCGCCGCACTTTTAACCTAGCCGCCGCCGCCGCCGTCAGGCCGCCGCCGCCGCTCTTCTTTGGCCGCCGCCGCCGCTACCTCCGTAGCCGCCGCAGCCGCCCGTCCACCCCCTTCATATTTGTCCAGCACCAGCCCGTCGCCAGCGTCGCCGTCATCTACTCCGACCGCTTCATCTACTCCGACAACCGCGGGCGACATTGGCCCCGCGCCGATTGGCGCCGCAACCGTCGTCGAGTCCTTCTCTACTGGCCTATCGGACATCTTCGACATGGCGTACAGCTCGTGCAGGTCCCAGTTTACGCATGCCCGGTGCTGGCAACATCGTCGCGTGCCTTCGTCCACGACGTGTCCCAGGGCCTGGCAAGCCTGGTTGGCGCGTCGTCAACTTCGTCTTCGTCCGTCTACGCATGCCCGGTGTTGGCAACACCGGTGCGGGCCTTCGTCCACGATCTGTCCCCGGGCTTGGCAAACCCGCCGTGACATGTCATCAACAACATCTTCTTCCCGGCGCATCCTATTTCGACATCACTGCGCCCATGACTAACTCGGCGCCCCCTTGCGCCCGCGGCTCCACGGCGACTTCCTCGACACCGGCTACCCCGACTCGACATCGACTACGACATTCTTCGCACGACTACCTCGACCACGGCTCCACCACCCACGCTCTCGGCTACCTCGACAAATGGCACAAAGGGCTATCGCCTTGCTTGAGCAACCTCGTCGGTTGCCACTTCAGCCACGACTCCATGATGCGTCTACCATTACGACTGTGGGAGGGTGTCCGTCGGCTTGCCTTCGAATTCTTCTCCAGTCTCACCGTCTGCTCGCTACTGTTGTGACTGCGGGGCGATGTTGAGTATAATGTTTATTAGGAAATACGAGATAGACTAGGATTTGTTCTGGCTTCTTGTACTCCAAGTAGATGATTGTACTCCTATATATATGCCCACGAGGCTCAAGCAATACAACAACTATTCCACCAATCCTTCCTTCCCTTCTAACAATTAGGAATTTCTTCCTTCCATGACAAGTTCATTGCGGCAAGTCCAAAGTTGAGATTAACCCAGATGCTAGGGCTGCAAATGAGCGCCAAGCAATCATATGCGATTGACCTCTGGTACACGCAAGTAGAGTGAGAATATTGTTGAACGAGCGAGGATCACAGTTATATCTGAAGCTTTCTCTAACCCAGCTCCAAAGGAACTTGGTGGGTGAGCAAAAGAAAAGGATGTGGCCGACAGCTTTGAGGGCCCCATACAACGCACTGAGGGAAGGCAGTCCTTGGACTCCCGCCATAGGAAGATACATATCTTAAGGGGAACCGAGGTGGCCTTGGCGGAATTGTTCCGAGGACCCTGGGAATAATTTTGCATATGCCCATTTCATTGAGAGGTTGCTCGAATCTTAGAGGTCCCATTGAATGTGATCTATGGTACCATAGAGCTAGACTTGACCAAGATCGAGGAGCAAAGCCCATGATGATATTTTGGCGGTAGAGAGATTGCAAAGAAAGGTTATGTTGGTGCGGTTATTGCAAAGCGCGTTTTTGACGAGGAAATCGGGATCAGAGGTAATGACGAAGAGGTCTGGGTATTTGGCGTGAAGAGGGAGATTGAGCACCCATTTGGAAAACCAGAATTTGCTATCGGCCCCATTCCACACGAAAAATTTAGCACCTAGGTAAAAAATCAAGGCATTTCTAGATCCCGTTGTTGAAGTGAGATCCACCTTTCTTACCAGTGAAAATAGAGGAGTTAGGGAAGTATTAGTCTTTAAAATCCATGCCCAAAGGTTGTCACCCTTTGGGGTAATTTTTTAAATCCATTTAGTTAACAAAGTGAGGTTCATTTTCTTTGAGTTGGTGATACCTAGCCCACCCCCCTCCGGATTTTGGTTTGCAAAAGATCTACCCAACGAACCATATGGTACCTATGTTTAATTGTGTCTACTTCCTAGAAGAACCGAGCTCTAACTTTATCGAGTTGGATGTGCGTTAGCAGGAATAGGCCCATGGCATAAGAGGGGATGGCCGAGAGGAAAGCATTGGTGAGAGTCAGTCTCGCCCCGGAAGACATAAGTTTTCCTTGCCAAGGATCAATTTGCTTAACCACCTCACTAATGGTAGGGTCCCAATCGGAATTGGGAAATGTTTTGTGGAAGCAGGAAAGCCAAGATAAGTAATAAGGAAATCAGCAAACTTGCAATTAAGAAAATGTAGCAATGCACAATCCTTCTCCGTGCTTCACCCCCATGGTGACAAGTTTGCTTTTAGAGAAATTCATTTTCATACCCCAACAGTGCTTCAAAGCTAATCAGAATGATTTTGATCGTGGTGATGCTCATAATGTTAGGTTCAAACATGAGCAATGTGTCATTAGAATACTGTGAGTGGGAGAATCCCCTAGAATAATGTCAAGTTTAGAATGGTCCTGACTATTTTTTTTACCGTTGTAGGTCTCAAAATGCCACCTCACCGGAAAAAATTAGCCATTTGGCTAAAAACACCGCCGTGGCAACAACAAACACTACGAACAATGTTATTTTTCTAGCATGGGTGGCGCTACCAGTGGAGGGCACATAGATCCGCTCACCACTGGTATGACACTTTATCAGTGGCGGGTACTTATGGGCGCCCACCACTGGTAGGCCTTTTGCGCCCGCTACTGCTAGCGCATTTTGTGATACGTCCATTTTGCATCATAATTACCTAATGTTACTTATCTTGTTTTAATGTAATATTTGACATTATGATACAATTCTAATGCCTTTTCCCTCTTAAAATGCAAGATACATCAAAGGAGGAAGATTATTGGTAGCTGGAATTCCGACCTGAAAAAGCTACAATGAAGATAGCAATTCTTCAAAGCTCAAAATGAAGCAAGATTTTTTGAAGAATTATTTTGGAATATATATAAGCAAAAATATGTCAAAGTGAGGCCACCAGCTAGCGACATGGGCGGGTGGCGCGGCCACCCCTTGGCCATCCCACTTGTCCATGTGGGGCCCTGGTGGCTCCCTGCTATTTCTTGAGTTTGCATTGGTTTTTCCATTGAAGAGGAAAGGGTGATGCAGCAAAGTAGAGATAAGTATTTCCCCTTAGTTTGAGAACCAAGGTATCAATCCAGTAGGAGGCACACGCAATTCTCCAATCTATGCACCTACACAAACAATCAAACACTTGCACCCAACGCGATAAAGGGGTTGTCAATCCCTTTACAATCACTTGCAAGGATGAGATCTGATAGATATAGATATAAAGGATTACTAAAATGTAAAACAAAGTAAAAACAAATAAATTACAGCAAGGTATTTTTGGGTTTTTTGGTTCATAGATCTGAAAATATATGATGAAAAATAGACCCGGGGACCATAGGTTTGACTAGAG